TCCCCCAGGAGTCTGAAAACAGGTCCCAATTCACACTGTGTCCACATTCCGTCACCAAACTACCTGTCCAACAGTCCCTGCACCCAGCCCAGACCTGTTGCCTAAGCCATTTCCTCCTCCTGAAAATACCACCTCTCCCCTACACACACACACACACACACACACACACACACACACACACACACACATACACACACACACACCTGACTCCTCCCGTCCACCACAGTCACCTTATATCCATTCCACGCACACCAGTTCTGTGTAATTGACAAGGTCCAACTCCAACCCCGTGACATTTCAAACACGTCCAGCAATCCTCTCTCCTTGGAGTCTCCACCGCACTCCATTGCTTCAATCCACACCTCACTTGGGCCCCTGTTCCTTCGAGCCCCTCTGCACAGTCGCTACCAACTTGCCTTCATTCTCTCAGTAGAATAGAACCGTCCCTAAAGTCCCCTAAAGTCCCCTAAAGTCATGAGCCAGCCAGACCCATCTGATGTGTCTCCCTCTAAGGGTTCAGTGCTGCTCCTGGCCCAGGATTTGAGTTGGCCGAATGAATGAGTGAATTAGCAGATGGACAAATGAACAGTAAGATCTTTCCAGAAGATTCTGGGTCTGAGGGAACTTTAGAGACCAGACTCATTCTTTCCCAGCAGACATGCAGGCCTCTGAGAGTTCAGGGCCCATCCCATCAAGAGACCCCTCAGTAGCAGTAACGAAAAACGAGCCCAGAAAAATCTATCGAGAACAATGTCCCTGTGCCCTTTGTGGGACTCGGCTATGGATGATTTCAGAACCAAGTATTGAAATGACACGTGAGATGAAGGCTTGTAGGGAGGACGTCCATCCTGGGACCCTTCACCTGTGGCGAGCTGGAGTACACACACCCACCGTTCCACCTAACGTCCCATTTATTTTTCTTTCTCTCAAGCTTGGAAGGAAATCCATTACTTCAAATTGAAGTGGAGCCAACCTCGGAGGTGAGAGCCGGGAGCAGCCTTTCCCAGGGGCTGCCCACCTGGGTCTGGGTGACGTGGACGGCTCGGGGCGGGTGGGAGGCGGGTGTGGTGGCGGCTTGATGGATGTTCCCACTCTAGGACAATAACCGGGCGCTGGCCCCTCCCGGCACCGCACCTAATGGGCCGTTATATGGTGTGTACGGTGCAGAAGGCGAAAATTGGCATGAGATTTGCATTCTTAGTTGAAAAAATTAGCCCAGGGCAGGGTGGGTACCAAGGGGGATGTGCCCCGCTGCCTTCCAAAGAATACATAGTGGGGGGACATGGGGGGGCCGGGGATACTGGGCTTGGCAGGCCATTGGGAATGTTCTGGGGCTCCTCTCCGCCTGCCCGGAAATTTTATTTATTCTGAAGGCATAAATAGAATGTCCCTCGGTGAGAACCGTGGAGTCTCGTCCCTTGACTCTGCTAGTGTGTCCTGAACTGAAAGGCACAGAAGCAGGGGGTTTCCAGGGAAAATCAGGTCCTTTGGGGGGACCATATGGTCGCTCGGAAATGGTCACGGGAGAAGACACATGACCTGTGCTAATTGTCCTCATCAGGCCAAAGAGGGCAGCTTCTCGGGTATTTGGGGTCAAGAAGATCATACCCAGTTAAGTGGCCATTCTCTCAGGTGGTCTTATGAGGTCCCAGGGCCCCTGGAAGTCCCTACTGGCCTGGACACATTCCCACATTGCAGCCAAAGGATCCAAGAGTCGCAGCCTCCCCAAGCCCCAGGCACTGCGAAAAAGCAGTCTGGGCAGGTGGGTCCCAAAACCTTGAGTGGCTAAATTCGGAGACGGTCACATCTGAGCACCCTCGTCAGGTTGACATGCCAGGTCAAAACACAGATTCCCGTCCCCAGCCCGCTGATATTTTGACTCCGTAGATCTGGATGGGGCCCAGGAATCTGTATTTTCTCAGGGCTCCGAGCTGGTGTTGGGTACAGGGGCTCAGGTCCGTGCAAAGAGCTTAGCCGCTCTCCATCTCATTGAAACCTTCCCCACCCCCCAGGGCAGATTTCATCCCTTCCACTTTCCAAGGAAGAAAGGGCCCAGAGAAGTAGAGCAACTCCCCCAAGGCCACACAGAGCCCAGCAGCCAGCTCACTCGGTCTGACTGTTAAGCCCCGTCTCTTCACAGGACAAATGCCAGGCTCCTTCCTGCTACTGGAGCCTGGGGCCTCTGCCCTGTGGCTCTGTCCACTCCCACGTTCCTCAGGGCTAGAACCACAGAGGTCTCCGCAAACCGGAAGGCCTGGTCCCTTCACATTCCTCTCCCTAGTGTCCCCTGCCCCCAGCACCAGAGCGGGGCTCTCAGATCTGCCTCTCAGGATCTCCTTTGTCCTATGATTCTGGACCTAAGCCACCTGAGGATACAGAGCCACGTCTGCAGCAGCCACATGGAGATGCCATGTGTCCAGACCCCCTGGGGACCCCGAGGGAGGGTGGGGCGGTGGCCGCGGTGGCAGCAGTGGCTCTGACCTTCTCCTCGCCTCCGGCCACAGAATGAAGAGGGCCGCGACGAAGCCGAGGAGTCGGAAGACGACTTCGAGGAGATGAACCTGTCCCTCCTCTCGGCCCGGAGCTTCCCGCGCAAGGCCAGCCAGACCAGCATGTTCCTGCAGGAGTGGGACATCCCCTTCGAGCAGCTGGAGATCGGTGAGCTCATCGGGAAGGGCCGCTTCGGGCAGGTGTACCACGGCCGCTGGCACGGCGAGGTGGCCATCCGGCTGATCGACATCGAGAGGGACAACGAGGACCAGCTCAAGGCCTTCAAGCGGGAGGTGATGGCCTACAGGCAGACGCGCCACGAGAACGTGGTCCTTTTCATGGGCGCCTGCATGAGCCCGCCGCACCTGGCCATCATCACCAGGTCAGTCCCCTCCGGCTGCCACCGCGGCTTCGGGTGCAGTCAGGAGACGCGGTGTCCAGGGGTGCCGCAGACGGCTTCCTTGCAATCCTTAAGTCCCCAGGAAATAGCCTGTGACGCTGACCTCTTCAGCAAAACCTCATGTGAGGACTGAATGGAGGGTCAGAGAATCGGGTCGGATTCCCCTTCTGCTCTAAGCTTTTGTGTAGGGAACCCCTGAGGCTGGCTTTCCTTGTATGCAAAGTGAGTGGGTGACCCTAAACCAGACCAACTTTTTCTACAAAGTGTCTACGAGTCAATACTTGGCTCTTTGCAGGCACACAGTTCCTGGAGCAGCTATGTAGCTCTGCGCTAGTGCATAAGCCACCGTCGAGGTGTGCATGAATTTGCAGGGCTGTGTTCCAATAAAACTTTATTTACAAAACCAGGTGGTGGGCCGGGTTTGGCCCATGGGCTGTAGCTTCCTAATTTCTGAACAGAGGCTCTGTGGGTGTGACTGTGGCTTCCGTAGCCATCTCAGAGTCTTTCTGATCTTTACCGTCACCCTTATGAATTTCCAGGATCCGTGGTCTGTGGACATGGGAGAGGTCGTGGGTGGAGAATTCACAGTAACATAATGTCAGATGACAGGGACTTTGGGGACTCCCTCTCTCTCTGTGTCCTCACTTGGTGATGTGAGGCAGGCAATGGGAAAAGATCAGCTCTGGTTTCCTGGGAACAGTTGTGAAACAGTCCTTTGGTGGGATTTTGACTTTGGCTCTGCTCCCTTGTTGCATTAGAAGACCTCAGGTGACGGGATCCCAGGGCAGAAGTCTCTCCTCTTGGGCAGGGTCCCAGGCCGCTCAGGAGGCCTTGGGGATTGTCACTGCTGATGGTGCAGGCCGTGGTTGACAGGAGCCGGGGTGTCGAACGGAAAGTGCTTGTGGGGGACTGGAGACCCCTCTGCCTTTCTTAAACCAGGAAAAATGGTGGCTGTCACCCTACCCAGGACAGAGGAGACTCTGTGGTCATCCCTCAGTCAGGGCTGAGCCACGGTGATCAGGCAGTGTGAGCTCAGTTACCTTGGGGCTTCCCAATCCTGTGGGCAGTTCTGGGCTGGACCAGGCTCCGTGACTGTGGCCACACCGTTGGCTATGGTCAGCTGGCAGGTGGACGGAGGCCTGGTCCATCCTGGAGCCACTCACTCATTTGTCTGGCGGTGGACAGACCATCAACAGGCGCCTCCGTCCTGCTCTTTGTGGCCTCTGACCCCCAGCGACCTGGTTCAGGTTTATTCTAGGATGTCCTCAGGTCCCCGAGCACAGCACGGGGTCAAGGCCTGGCACGCAGCGTGTGATCATGCCTCTGCTTGGGACGTCTTCGCTGACATCCACTGGCCAGAGCAACCCCTGTGGTCACCAGATTCGGCGGGCAGAGAAGCAGACTGGACCTCTGAACAGAAGGATCTGTAGGGACAACCGGTGGCCGTTTGTGCCATCTTCGGCAGCAGGACCCTGGGCTCCCTCTGTCCCCTCTTCTCTAGGAGGTGTTCTGTCCTCTCAGCAGGAGGCAGGGACCCCTCACTCACGATGCACAAATTTGGCTGAAAGATGGTCTTGCCCCCCATCTTCTTCCCACTTTCAGTAACCCCACTTTCTCTTGCTCAGCTCTTCCACTTCTGTTAACCCTACTCGAGGGGCGCTCAACCACGGAGCCACATCCCCAGCCCATTTTCATATTTTATTTAGAGACAGGGTCTCTCTGAGTGGCTTAGGGCCTCACTGAGTTGCTGAGGCTGGCTTTGAACTCTCCATCCTCCTGCCTCAGCCTCCTGAGCTGCTGGGATGACAGGCAGGCACCAACCCGCCTGGCCCTACTTTTGTTTTTTTCCTACCCCCAAATTAGAAACTTGTGCCTCCTCTTCTTGACCCTTCGAAGGACCTCCTGCCTCTTCTCTTACTTTTTGAGGATTATCCGTGGAGACCTGTTACCCCCACCTCTCTGCCTGACTCCCTTGCCCCCTCCCCAGCGGCTGGCTCATGGGCAGTGGATGGACCCAGTTAGCAGCCACCCTTGAAAAAAACCGAGTGGTCATTATGGAAATGTGTCGCTCACCCCGCCAGCCAGCTGCATCGGCGGCCCCCCTCTCCTATTATGCACAAAATTCTGAGCCCCCTCCCCAAGCCCCATAACTACCTACAGATTTCACAAATAGCCCAGCCTTTTCCTGGCACCGAGATAAAGACTCGGCAGCTTTGGGACATGTAATTGGTCTCTGAAGTGTTTTGCTATTTTGTGTGAGGATTGCCAGATGAGCCCCAAAGAGGTGGCGTTTATTCCATATCATTGTGTTGGGTAGATATTTCTCTTCGGGAGGGGCTCCGCGTGCCCCCCCAACCCCGTCCAGCGCCGCATCCACTTGTTGTCCATCCAGAATCCGCATCTCAATATTCGATTGGAAACTAAATATTTGAGTAATTTGATTAATCACTTGCGCTTTCGCAGGATGGACTGGCAGAGGTCGATGGTTGGACCGTAGCCAACCGACTAGAATAATTCTGAAGATCCCGGTTTTATTTTACAGGGAGCATAAAACCAGATAATTACCTGGCATATTTATTCCAGATAAATTCACAATAGCATATTCTAGCCAATTACTTAGTAATCATCATCAAAGTTAACGAGTATTTCTAAGATTAGCGTCCTGGTAATGCGATATGCATGGCTCTGGGGGATGAGTAACAACCAGCTAGTTACCCAATCACTTTATCCACAAATACAATTAGCATCGGGACGGCTACATTATTTCACGATTGGGTCATTATGGAATTATGGCCAAGCTATCGACAGTCTGGGCCATGGCTCCTGTTCAAAAACCCCGAATGCAATTGGAAAGCCGATAATGAACCCGTTGAAGGAGCGCGTCCCCCCACTTCCGCCCAGCTGGGATGGGGGTTTGCTGGGCCTCAGTTTCCTCATCTGTAAAATGAGCAGGTGGCAGCAGCTGTCTGTGGAGGGGGGTCGGTTCCGACTCTGAGGATGTGCTGCCACTCACAAAGCCACAGGGAACAGCTCCGGGGGCCAGTGCTTCCCACAGGGTGGTCTCTCGGGACCTCAGGCCTTTCAAAATGCATGTGCCTGGGACCTGCCTGTGGTCCCTTCCTGGCACCTGACCTGAGGCCCGAGCAATCAAGTCTGTCTGTAAGCGGAGCCTCTTAACCCAGCTCCAGCCTGGTTGCCCCTGAGGTTGGCTCTAGGGAGATGGACCGAGCCCTTCTTCCCAGGGAGGCTGAGGAAACGGGGCCCTTGTCAGCCTCCGTCCCAGCCCTGGAGAGAAGACGACGGAGCCCTCACCGGCTGCCTCTTCTGACGAGTGACCATGGCCTGGCCCCGCCCCTTGGTGGAAGTCATTTCCCTGGTTCAGGGAAGACCACCGAGCACCCCAAAGCAGGGTGGGAAAGCAGCCGATGCCACTGGCGTTTGGTGACAAGTGCTGTACTTCAAGCCAGGCACGGCCACGTGCGCCTGTTGATCACTGTGTCCACTTCACAGACGAGAACACGGAGGCCGGGGGACAACAGGAACCCTTGCCCAGTTCATGGATCAGGTAACCGGCAGCACTTGGCATGGAGCGAGGGAGCCTCTGAATGCTGGTCAGGCACCGTCAGGCCCGGCCGCGGGGAATGGGTTCCCCCTGTGACATTCCCTGTCACCCTCGGAGGACTTGGTCACAGCACATGGCTCCAGCCCCCGCTGGAGCATCCATCATTTTTATTAAGATCCCAAGGATTTGGCGCACACCAGCTGGAAAACCCTGGGTCATTAGAACTGAGTTTTGTTTCATAAGTTGGATTTTTTCGGGTGCTTGTGTAATTCTGTTATGCCCTGAAAATTCTGGGAAGGCACACGCACAGGCGCACACACACACACCCCTCTCCCCCATGTCCCCTAGGTTACCCGCCAGTTCTCTGTTTCATTCTCGTCCTCCTGCTGCCCCCTCTCCAAGAAGTGCATGTTGCTCCCCGGCTCCCTGCAGAGGACACTCTGTGGGCATGGGCCTGGCCCAGGATCTCTACGGAGCTCACAGAATAGACGGTTCCTCCAAAAGCCCGTCCCACTCCCTGGGTAATTTTCTGGAATTGCAAAATGACTTAAATCAGAGCTTCTCGTCCTCCTGCAGGGACCTGTTAGAAATGGGCGTCCCCCACCGTGCAGTGGGTCCCTGGGAAGCCTGTGACAGGAGCTCCCGGGTGAGGCCGGCCACTATGGAGGAGCCCTCTCCTGCTCCCTCCCCAAGCAGGTGAGCTGTCCTGCAGTGGAGCCTAAGGCAGCCCTCTCCAGGCGCCTGCCACAGGCCTTGACCAGACCCCGCCAGGGAGAGTCCGGGCAGCGGGCGAGACACTCAGAACACGGGGCCGCAGTTACTGGGTCCTTACAGTCTCGTGGTCAGTAGAGGTTAGACAAGAAGGCAGGAAAACGTTGTGGTGAGTACCATAAAGGCCACAGACAAGGTCAGGGTGTCAGGAGCATTCTTTTGAAGAGGGCTCAGAGGAAGCTTCTGAGGGCGGCGTGGGAGGTAAACATTTGAGCCACAATCGACTGAGGAAGAGGAGGAGCAGAGAAGTGGCTGCCCTATGGCAGGTGCAAAGGCCCTGAGGCAGGAGGGAGGCTGTCATATGGAGGACCAGAAAGAAGCAAGTGGGCCAGGAGGGCAGGGTGGTAGGAAAAGGCCCACAGAGGCCGGATGATTGTGGAGCCTCAATAACCCAAGAAAAGGGTGTGGAGTTTATCATAATGGAGTAAAGCAAGATTCTCACTTTGTAAAGGGTTCTCTCTCTCCCATTTTTTTTAAATGGGTGAATTCCAGAGCCAGGGTTCTCATAAGAGCCATGCTCGGAGCCTCCCTGCTGGCCTAGTTTCTGCCTCCCGGTCCACAGAGCCGGTGGGTTCCGAGTGGTAAAACCCCTTGGGTGCAGAGCCGGGACACATCAAGGGGACCTGTCACTGAAGGACCCAGGCAGAGG